GAAGTTTCTTAAACCTGCATTCTATGTAATGGCCAGCAGGGGGAGCTCCACTGGCTGCAGTAACACACTGATACCATAGAATCTTATGAGAAATGAGCCGGCTTCTCACTTGATTTATGAGCTCAGTAAATAGTTTCGTAATGAGTTTATGGTCTCAATCTGTAGTCTTCTTTCACACAGCATGATGTTCATTTAGTAAATTATGGTACAATTAAGAGTAAAATAGATCAATAAAGCCATATGCTTCCCACTGAGTCCATCCAGCTCAACGCACCAAACTCAGATCAAACTTTCAAACTAGGCAGTGCTGATCAAATATGAATCTAGATTCTGTTACTGTGTTGACTATTTCTCACCTAAAATTGTTTCAGTGTCCCGTTACCTGTTATACAAGATTGTGTGTGACCAGGCGAGCTGCCATTGTTTCCTGCTACAGACGATTGTTAGCATACAATTGTTATATCCAGAATTTTAATATTAATGATAGGATCATTTTAACATCTACTGTACAATTCCATGACAACTGGGAAAAATTCTATCTCCCGATGAAGATCATGTAATGTGATCAAAAGTTCCAGAATACCTACGAAATGGAGAAATAGTTTTGTTTCCAAGGTTGAGAATTTCATGTTCAACTCTCAGTATTTAATCTTGGCGAGAGTTTTTCTTTAATGAATTAATTGAGAGAGAGTACAGCGTTTTGAGTCCAGGTTGGCTTTTCATCAGGTACAGAGGCATCATACTTGTTTTCCTCTCCAATCTTAAGAACTCCCCTTGCACTGTTTTTACTGTGGTCAGAGTTTGGCATTGGTTAATGATTCAGCAAAGAGAAAACTAAAATCCCTTTAAGTGCATGGGTTGAGCAGCAGCTTATATACATTCAGCAAACAGAAGAGTGGGTGTGAGTGTGTGTGTGTGTGTGTGTGTGTGTCTAGTGATAGCTACAGGGCCCTTGCCTCCTTCTTCATTATCACAGTCAATCTCAATGCTATCAGTTTGTCTGCCCTGTTTCCCTTATGATCAGTATAGCAGATTTCAATCTGAGAAGTGGATGACATCTAACAGCCTGACTCATGGGACCGACACACACACAGCACGTAGTAGCAACTCCTTATCCGCTGGATAAGGAGGCTGTTCTCGAGGTGAGATTGATGCTGTTGTATTCCCGCAGCCAAGAGACAGTTTGACTCCTTGCCATGATTTACATTGCACTTCATTTGCCCTTCCACCTCTTTCCTGTCATTATCTGTATCCAAACTTAGACTATGTGCCAAAAAGTTATAAATAGACGTGCAATCTCAGCAGTTCTCTGTTCAGAGATACAGAACCCAAAAGTATGTTTAAATTCCTTGTCATTGCAGTTCATTTTCAGTGAAGTACTGTACAGTAGTAGTAGAGTAGTTTTTGGAGACCTGTGGGTCAAAATGAAACAGAAAGACAAACTCTTTTCTCTGTTTGGTAATTCATGTTCATAGAGCCCTGAACACTCATTTTCCTCATGACTAACTTTTGTCGGGGTTTATTTTCTTTTCCCTGGAGCTGCTCTGTTCTCCCGGTTTATTTCTACATTTTCACTCATTGAAAGCTGTGCATCTCCTCCACTGCTGCCACAGTGGAATGCCCAGCTCAGCAATCCTCCCATCAGCCACTAATGAGCTCAGCTCTCCCAGCTGCTCTGTCACAGACTCTGCGACTCCCCACTGAGAGCGAAGCCAGGCATACTGAGGAGGATGAGACCACCACAGATACATACAAACACTACACCTGTATGATGTAAACCAGATACCTGATAACTTGGTATCTAATTTCATTATTTATCAGCTAACCCAAGACATGAATCAAATAAATTGTTTGTTGACAGAAGATACAGAGCCAAATTGTTGCACATTTGTTCCATGACTGCACTGTTTGTCTTGGTGGTTTTTAGCTGGTAACCCAACCTTTTAAGGCAGCTGGACTCGCAAGATCACGAAAATCAAACGAGAATCCGTCTTGCCAGGCTTCAGGCTTTGCACTTGTGTCCAAACCACAGTGGTATCCGACCAATCAGCATCCTTTGAGAAACTACTGCCAGCTAAGCCATGAGCTACGGGTGCTGTTTAACGTAAGTTGTGTGTGACTAAGTGAAAGAAGTGACTGTTCTTTAAACAACAATGGCGACTGCTAGCATCAGTTATATCAGAACAGGAAAGTATTTCTTCATTGAAAGAAGAGCAAAGAACGGCACTGAAGGATTTTCTCGATGGAAAAGAGGTTTTGTCTTCTCCCGACTGGTTGATCCGAACGGTTGAAGTTCACTTGTAATAGACGGTGATGGTTCTACCACTTGCCAAGTATTTTTTGAAAGTGCCTGCCCTTTCAACAGTTTCCAATGACAACTTCCCATCTGGTTCTGTGTAACAAACCATCTGGTGCAGTCAGATTTACTGTTAACCCATCATTATAAATCTAGCTGACAGATTGACAAATCAAAGTATCTGCGGCACACACAGAGTCAGCAACGGCCTGCGAGGACCCTTGTAAAGTGGATTCGCAGCACACAGCCCTCTGAACCTTTTGGGTCTATGCAAAACAGTGCGTTGAAATGGTTGCCAAACAAAAGTTGGAACATATTAAGCAGATTGGGAAGTGGTGACCTCTGTTTGGTGATGGGAGGCCCACTGTTCTTTATCCAAAAGGCTTATGGCTCATTAACTGTAACTGCAGGCTACAACTGGACTACTGCCCCTTTCAAATGAACTGTGGCTGGTGTGAGAAGCTGGCCAGGCTGCGGTGTAAGAGATAAGACTGAGAATAAACGAGAGGCCTCACAAACCACGTGATCAGTGACACAAACCAGATATAAGAACCAAAATGGGGGGTGAGTTGTAAGAAGTGGTGAAGACTGTGAAGAACACACAAATTATTACTCACATTCCCCCTTTGTTAACTATAAATCCTAAAAAAGCAATTAATCTGGACAGATACACAGACACACTCACACCCTGTTAAATTTCAGCCAAATTCCTTCCCTAAATTACTTCCTTTTCTGAAGCTGAAGCTTGCCAAGATTAATCTGGGAAATTTCCAGAAACAGATGTGGAAATTAGTACCACTTTTTTGTTTCAGTTTAAGAGTTCTGTTATGAGTGTGCATGTGTCATTTAGAGACAGGTGTCGCCAGCTTATCTACTGCACATATAGAACAGACTGAAGTTCATTGAACTAGTTGTGTGCTGTGCATGGCATAACATATTTCCTCATCCTGGAGGCTTCTGATAAAGTGTGTGGAGGACTTTTTGAAGTTGTTTTTCCACTTACTCATTTTCAGTTCGCTTTACCATCAAAGAAGAACATGAAAGCTCGTAGAATAATATGCCTGAAAACTAGCTGTGGATATCACACATGATAAAGGAACTGAATAAATGTACAGTAACAAAGAATTCTCTGAATCCTCTAAATGCATCATTCCATTTTAATTTCCAGCACTTTGCGGTGTCTGAAATCACCCCCTTCTTCACTCATTCACTACTACTCATACACTGATATTGAGCTTTAAATTGAGATTTCAGACACTTATCATCATTTTACATCATCACTGAAAGGTGTTAAGTTACACAAAAATAATGTTCACATCTATAAAATATAATTATTGTATGATTGTTAGTGGAAAGTAGTGCACATACCATTAACTTTTTTTGAGGTTTTGAGGGGACTATTAAAGCCGATACATTTATTTGATTTCATACACAGCCAAAGAATCTGCAACTATGATAGCAGCTGTGTGAGCACAGTGGAGCATTAAGCTAATTGCTGAAGTTAGCATGCTAACATTCTTGCAGTGACAAAGCTAACATAGTGTTGTTTATAATGTTCAAATCTTAGTTTAGTCTGTGAGCATTAGCATGCTTACATTTAATAACTGGCATGTAAAAACACAGTACAATGTCATTCATTTTTCATTTGGTCATAAACTGTACAAGGTCCATTGTGTAACATTTAGGAGGAGCTTTTGACAGAAATTGAATATAACATTGATGGTATGTTTTTATTAGTTTATAATTACCTGAATGTAGAAATTGTTGTTTTATCATTTCCTTAGAATTGAGCTGTTCTTTATCTACAGGGCGCATGGTTACCCTTCATGGGTCTGCCATGTTGAACTGCCATGTTCTTACATTGCCAGAATGGACAACCAAACCACTGGCTCAAGATAGGGCTTTTGCGTTTTTCACAAGTTTCATTACGTTAGTAACTAGTCTGCAACTTCTTCGCTAGCTGACTAAATCTTATACACAGGTCCTTTTAAATTTGACCTGATGATGGTGCTAAATGAAAAGTTAATGGATCAAGTTATGACTGTTCATCCAGAGGGGGTCATAACTGTCTAAATCAAATTTATGGCAGTCCATCCAATAGTTGTAGATATTTCATTTAAAGCCACAAATGTCAACCTCATCACCAAAGTCATTAGTTCCTCTGGGGACGATAAACGT